TTTTTTGCGGTACGTGGGCCTCTCACTGTTGTGGCCTCTCCCGTTGCAGAGCACAGGCTCCGGACGCGCAGGCTCAGCAGCCATGTCTCACGGGCCCAGCTGCTCCACGGCATGTGGGATCTTCCCGGACCGGGGCACGAACCTGCGTCCCCTGCATCGGCAGGCGGATTCTCAACCACTGCGCCACCAGGGAAGCGCTAGGCTCCCATTTTTGATGTCAACAGTAAATTTGGAGTTAGGGAACCAAAACTAGGGTAGTCCAGCGTAGTGAGTCATGGTGATGGGGACAAGTCCCCTCCAAGATAACTGGAGAGGTGACCAGAGTTCTGAAAACCAAATGCTCATGAAACTTGTTGCTAAAAACATCTTTATCCAGATCCCAGTAACATTGAGGGCCGTCTCAGCTCCCCTCTGAAAAAGTAGAAATTCCATGTAAATCGGAGAAATGATTATTTTGTTCCCGGAGGTACAAGGAAAGTAGACCAGTTCTGGAGACTAGATTTGATTGGCTGTATTCACACTGCTGCTGTGTGCCAGACATTGGGCTGGGTATCTGAGTTAAATCTGAGAGTGACTGTTTGTTGCGCTGGGAGGAAGGGAGGCAAGCTGAGAAAGGCCCCTTTAGAATAGAAAGTGTCAGAGAGGGAGGAAGCCCTTCCTTCACACCCATGCAGCCACACCACTTCCTGTCCGCAATCTTGCCTCGTATTGCACCACCTCAGCCTTGAAGCCTGGGGTTTCCATCACTGAATCAGGCCCCAGTTTTGGCCTCAAACCTTGGTTGAGAATGATGACTCTAACGGACAGGAAAGCGAGAGACTCAAAAGCCCCTCTCTTCTTTCCCATCAATGCTACGGTTTCCACAGTCTGGGTGTACTTACCAGGGCTGTGGGTTCTGCCGTAGAAGGAGCTAGAAGAAAAGGGGTAGCCCCAGTCTCACTGACATGTCTTCCCTCCTGGATGTCCAGGAAGTCCTGGCAGTGTCATCCATGCCACAGCAGGAAGGCTCGTAACCGAAAGCCGGGGAAGTGGAAAGAAGAAACAGTGGAAAGGAGGAAGGAGAGAAGGAAGTGGGGAGGGGGAAGGGAAGAGGGTGATGGGGATCCTTGAGCTCTGAACCTAAACCATCCCTGCTCCTGGGAAGTTATGCTGAAGCCCCAGGAGGGTATGCTATTTGGAAGCTCCCCTAACAATGCCACACGTCTGCAGGCGCGAGAGTGGAGCTAGCCAAGGCTAGTCTCTGGAAAGCCCTCTATGCTTGGAGTCAAGGGAAATTTCCTGGATTGCCCATTTGGAAACGGACCACCTTGATGAAATTGTTCCTCCCCAAATATTTGGGGCAAAGGAGATCCATGTGGTTACTACTGTCGCCTCGGACATCAGCACCATCAGCACGACGCACACTGAAAGTCTGCAGTTAGCAGATGCAGGTGCGCTTGGCGTGGCGTGCTTGAACTTGTGCCCCAATCTGGGGCTGCGTTCAGGGCACACTCTGTCCCTAGAGACAGCTCACCTGCTCTTTTGGGTGTTCTAGCATGACCTTTTCTGGTATGGTATTCTTAAGAAGATCAGAAATGTCATTGCAGATCAGACCAAAGGCCACTAGCCCAGAATTCCAACCACAACACGGCGGGGAAGCGTGAGGGACAGTCCAGTGTTTGCATTCTAAGACACCATCCTGAAAGGCCTGAGGTGTACTTGGAACTTCCCTGATTTCCCTTAATAACCCACTGTTATCTATCCATTCATTAATCAAGAGTCTTCTTGAACCAGTTTGAGTTCTCCATCACCTTGTGCAGGGTGGTACTTCTGCTCTGCTCTGAATCCACGCCCTGCGCTTCTAAATCCCAGAGGAGCTCATTCTTGGATGGTGCTGGGACC